GGGTGGGCCTGTCCTGGGGGCAGGGCTCCTTCTGGAAGGAACCGGTGCTCCGGCAGGGGTGGTCTGCCCCAGCCCAGCCCGCCTTTGCTGTCCACAGAGGTGGCTCCGGCCCCGCTGGACGAGCTCCGAGGCCACAAGGCCCTGGTGAAGCTCCGGAGCCGGCAAGAGCGAGACTTCCGGGAGCTGTACAAGAAACATCAGCGGAAGGCCGTTGCCCTCACGCGCCGGTTGCTCGACAACCTGGCCCAGGCCCGCGCGGGGAGCAGGTGCCGACAGCGGCCCAGTGTCCTGTGAGTGTCCCGCCTGCCCATGTGCTTTGTGCGTGGATGTGAATGTGAATATGCATATGAGGGTTTCTGCACTAGGTGGGCATGGATGGATGGCCCAGGGTTGCCCTTTTGACCCCCAGGAAGGAGGTTTGGTACAAGGAAGACAGAGGACTCTGGTTCCAACCCTCTTTGCAACCCCATGGACTATACAGTCCATGGAATTCTCCAGGCCAGAATACAGGAATGAGTAGCCTTTCCCTTCTCCAGGGGATCTTCCCAACCCAGGGATCGAACCCAGGTCTCCCATATTGCAGGCGGATTCTTTACCAGCTGAGCCGCAAGGGAAGCCCCTTTCCGCCAGGAGGGATACCTTTTTTGAGGTCCCCATAAGAGCATGTTTCCAGGGGCTGTTGCCCAGACAGGCTCCTAACATTTGCATGGAGCTAATGGGCCTCCTCCTTGGCATAACCAATCCCACTTGTCTGGGCTGGTATCTGTCACTGCCAGCGGGCACCTGCTCTGTCCCCCTGCCCTCTCGGCCCAGGTCCATGTGATGACCTGAGTATTATCCAGAGGGGTTCTCCCCACAGAAGCGGGGAGGATGAGAGGGCAGAAGAGGAAGAGGTGAGCAGGTATCAAGAGTTCCAGAAGAAACAGGTGCAGTGTCTGCTAGAGCTGAGGGAGGCCCAGGCGGACACAGAGGCGGAGCGGAGGCTGGAGCACCTGCAGCAGGTGAGGGGCGGGCGGCGGGGGGAACATGACTCAGTTGAAGAAACTGAAGGAGATAAACGAGAGGTGAAGGCTGGGATCTCGTGGGCAGAGGGCGGGGGTACTCCCTGGTGCCATGAGGGACAGGCCTGTCAGCCCAGGGTCACCTGTTGGCCACCTGTGTCTGTAGGCTCAGCTGAAGCTCAGGGAGGTTGTCCTGGACGCTCACATGACTCAGTTGAAGAAACTGAAGGAGATAAACGAGAGGTGAAGGCTGGGATCTCGTGGGCAGAGGGCGGGGGTACTCCCTGGTGCCATGAGGTGGGCAGAGAAACACACAGACACACAGACACACACACACACGGGTGGGCAGAGACACACACAGACACACACACACACACCCCTGTCCTGCCGTTGACCCTGCCTGTTCTCCCACTGGCTCCTCCAGGGAGAAGAAGGAACTACAGAAGATCCTGGACAGGAAACGCCATAACAGTATCTCAGAGGCCAAGACCAGGGAGAAACATAAGAAGGAGGCGTAAGGGCATCAGGGCTGGGAGCCAGTTGCGTGCTGGGCAGGCCGGGTGGGTCCCTGGGCGCTGAGCGCATCCTCCTTGCTCTCGTGCAGGGAACTGACAGAGATTAACCGTCGGCACATCACTGAGTCGGTCAACTCCATCCGTCGGGTGAGTGAAGCTCAGGTGCCACCCTACCCACCCCTGTTCCTTCAGTCATCCTAAACTGGTATCCTGGGTGCCAACCTGGTGCTCCGTCGCCCTAGAGGGGCTTCCAGATCCTTTCTCTGTGGGTCTGGAACATTTGCTGTTAAAAGTCATCTCAGGACCCTGGTCACATAGTCCCAGGAACCTTTGCCTCCTTGCTCAGAAAGAGGGTCTGCATGACTTCTATGCCCACACAGAACCCTGGGGCCCGGGCCCCTCCCTTAGAGACCCTTGTGTGAACCCTTGCCCCCCACACACGCACAGCTGGAGGAGGCCCAGAAGCAGCGGCAGGAACGCCTTGTGGCTGGGCAGCAGCAGATCCTCCAACAGCTGGCGGAAGAGGAGCCCAAGGTGAGGCCGTAGGTGAGGGGGCAGGCAGGCGGCAGGTGGGCAGAGCACTGGGTGGCCTGACCTGGCCTCTCTGACGCTGCTCCTCCTGCAGCTGCTGGCCCAGCTGGTCCAGGAGTGTCAGGAGCAGCGGGAGAGGCTGCCCCAGGAGATCCGCTGGAGTCTGCTGGGCGAGACACAGGAGGGACTGGGGGACGGGCATCTGGTCGCCTGTGCCAGCAACGGTCACGCGCCTGGGAGCAGCGGGCACCTGCCTGGCGCTGACTCAGAGAGCCAGGAGGAGACTACAAAGCTCTGAACTGGCTGAGCAAGAGGTGGCCACCAGGCCAGGGTGGGCGCTGGGAGGAGGGCAGGAGGCTAAGACACTAAATGCTTTTTTTTTTTTTAACTTTTTATCTTTAGAAATTTTATTTTTTTAAACCAGGGCGAGCACCCCACACTAACTCCCTCCTTTTACCCCCCTGGAGCCCCATTAGTCCCCAGCCCCTCCTTCCTGCCCTCAGTCCTAGGGAAGGTGCTGGGTGGGTCACTCTGGGCCAGAAGGGCCTCACCCCCATGACACCCACACCCTAGAGTGGGAGTTGTCTCCCTCATTTCCCCAGGGAACAGTGGGTGGAGCCTTCGAGCTACGGGAAGTCACATTCTTTCTCTTTCCTTTGGGTATTTTTTTTTTATGTGAATAAACGTGGATTTCAGGGACCTTGTGTGCAGTGTGGTTTGGGGTGGGGCAGTACTGGAGAGGATTCTGGGCCCTAGATCTGGTTCTGCTTTTTCTGGAGCCTCAGTTTTCTCATCTATAAAATGGGCTTGTGGACATTGTGGGTCAGGGCCCCAGCAAAGGGTTTTGAGACATCCTTGCCCAGGAACTGCCTGGTTTTGCCAGTGACCTGACATCAGAGGCCCTCTGGCCTCCCCCAGGCTTTCCCGCCTCTCTGCCCTCTGCCCTGGACTCTCACTCTGCTTCCCCCACCCCTTACTCCAGTTACTTTTCTCCCTCCTGGGCTCTTGTCCTCCCATCATAGAGGTTCAGGCCTCTGCTTCAGGAAGCCTCCCCTGCCCCCTCTTCCTGTAGCCTGATATGACCCAAGCACCCAGTATCTTCCGCCAAGGCTGCTCTTGGCCACACAGGCAGTTGATTCCGTTATCAGAGGATAGACCTGCTAGGGGTGCAGGTGGGCAGCTCAAAACCTGCCCAACATCAGGGGACCCGGGCTCTCAGCAATAGACAGGAAGTAGATGGGCCTGGAAGTGACCCTTGGGAAAGGGGGTGCTGATGGTCACAGCACATGCAAGGGAGACACTACATCCCCCTCCTCCCTGTGAGGGAGATGTTATGCCTGTTTTGCAGATGAGGAAACTGAGGTCACAGCTAAGTCAAGACATCCTGACCTGGAGGCAGGGGGGCCATGGACCCTCTAGGGCAGACTGTCTTCGGCCAGCCTGGAGGACCTGCTCCACGCCTCCCCCTCCTGCCCTGGGACAGCATGGAGTGGCAGAGACCCCGCAGCGAGGGTGCGGCTGGGTTCTACAGCAGGGTCAGGCTGGCACTTCTTCAAGGCCTCTCCCAGCTTCCTGGCGCTTCCCGGGCTGACTGCCTGCCTCCTCCAGAGGAAGGCAGCCTCTTATCTGGGCTTATCTCCTGCCAATTGAGTGTTTTCTTTCTTTGTTTTTGCTGCAGCCTCAGGCAAACAGATGGGGTGGGGAGGCCAGAGAACAGGGCTTCCAGAGCAAGGCCTTCCCTCTTTCTGCAGTCAGGCCTTGTCCTAGCTCCATATCTGCCCCATCTAGGCCCCTCCGCAAGCAACTCCCATCTTCCTGACTTCACACATAAAACACTATACAGTCCCCAGGTCCTCAAAGACCAGGCTCAACTCCAAACTCCTGGGTGAAAGTGAAAGTGAAGTGGCTCACTCCTTTCCGACTCTGCAACCCCATGGACTGTAGCCTGCCAGGCTTCTCCGTCCATGGGATTCTCTGAGCAAGAGTACTGGGTTGCCATTTCCTTCTCCAGGGGATCTTCCCGATGCAGGGATCAAACTCGGGTCTCCCACACTGCAGGCAGATGCTTTAACCTCTGAGCCACCAGGGAAGCCCCTAAACTCCTGGGTATGACATTCCAGCTCTTGAAAAGCCTGGCCTCCTCTGCAGCTCCCCCATCCTTCCATAGGTCTGCTATTTCCTCTGCTGGAAATGACAGCACCCTCCCTCATGTCTTCAAGTCCCAGGTCTAGCTCACCTCCTCCCTGAAGCCCTCCCTGACTTTCCTCTGCTGGAGGGAGCCGCCTTCACCCTGGTTCCAGGCCCCTGATAGAGCACTGCGCTGGCGTTAACTCCTGGCTGAGGCTGCCTCTCCCCTCGCCAGGAAGCTAGTAATAACGGGGCTGTGGCACAATCCAGATCTGTGTACCTAGTATAAAGCTCTGGCTAGTCTGTAGGGGGCGCCAATAAATCTTTCTGGAATTGAGCTCTCAGCTGGCTCCCAGGGCCTGGTGAAGCTTCTCTGGTTCCCTAGCGATCCCTCTACTCACAGCTCTGGGCCGAGCCTTCCGTCCCCTCCCCCGCCCGATGTGTGTTCTGCCAGTTCCCTGAGGAGCGCTGGCCCCAGGCCGGCCACACAGTAGCTGCTCAAAAGGACTGACCCAAATAGGAGCAAATGACCCTCCCTGGGGGACGGCGGCACGGTTTGCAGTGCGTGGAATTCCAGCGGCCAGCCGGCCTGCAGTTCTCAATTACCATATTAGAGATAAGGACCTGGATGTCCCCGAAGCCCGATCTCGCTCCGCCTCCCGGAGTCCAGGCGGCCGTAGCCCTGCTCGCCGCCTCAACGCCTCCCTAATGTCGGCCGCAAGAGCCTCAGTTTCCCTCATACGTAAAGCGGGGACATCTTTTGAAATTCTTGTCAGTGCTAGCGCTCTCTCCGCCCGAGAAGCCCCAGGCGACAGACAGAGGAGACTCCACGGCACAGACGTGGGGTTTATTAGCATCTTAGTATCGGGAGTAGGTCCGCAGCGTTACCGCGGAGGAAAGGGTTCCAGCGAAGTTAGGGTTAATCTCGGCTCGCAACTAGCGCAGGCGCCTGGGGCGGCCCAGCGCCGGGGCGGGGTCACGGGGCCGCTTCCGGCAGGTAAGGGCGGAAAAACTTCCAACTTCCGATGGGGGCCGAGCCCCTCCGTGGTCCTCGCACACACCGGAAGGGGACCGGGCTCTGGGTCAGACCTCAGTCTTCCGAAAAACCGAGCCTCCTTTTACATAAAGCCTGCAGAAAATCTTCCGCCCGCTCCCAAGATGGCCACCAGCAGCGGTTGGGAGATTCGGGATGCGGGGCGGAAGGTCATTGGGAGGGGGCGGAGCCTCCTCTCCCCAAGTTCCGGCTCAACCAGGACTGGAGGAAGCGCGTCCAGCTGGGGCTTTGTCGCATCTGCGTCGCCGTGCCCGCGCTCTTCGGGCGAGGAAGCCCCTTCAGGGTGGGAAGAAAAAAGGGTAGAATGAATTAGCTTATTCTGGCAGCCCGAATCAAGGCCCCTCCGCTTACGGAACCCCACCACCAAGTGAGATCCCGGAGGAGACAAAAGACCGTAGATCCTAACAGGCCTTGTACCAAGAGGTCTCCTGACTACTAAGCATGGTCCCTCCATGTTGCGGGCAGAAAGAGAGAACGCCTAGGATCCTGTAAGCGCCAGAGCCGGAGACTTAGCACCTGGAAGATGGGACCATAATTTGAAAATGAAAGAAGTGGTTCGGAAATTGAGGCCAAGAACCCAGATATCCGAAAGGGGTCGGCTAGGAGCACAAATGCCTCGCGCTCTGGGGACTTGGGGAACCCAGGAGCCTTGGCCTGCTGGAGCAGGGTCAGATCTCCGAATACCCTGGAACTCGGCAAGGGTCTGGCTGGAGTTCCGAAAGGAGCCAAGGAGCCCCGAGACGGAAATTCCAACGTGCACTGGAACAGCCCAGTGGGAGGAGGTCCGGGAGCACAGGTCCCGGTGTGGCCCGGGACTGCGGGGCACTTCAGCCGGCCCTCACCTTGAAGGAGACGTGAAACTCGTCGCTCATCCTCCGGAGCTCGCGGCCATATCGCTGTGCAGCCCAGAGGTTGGGGGGCGCCGAACGCGAGCGGCCCCTGAAGGGGCCGAGATCCTCCTCCTCCGTCCCTTCATCATCCTCTGACCCCGCGGGGTAGGAGCTGTGACGACTCCGGGTCTCCACAGCCCCAGTGCCTGCAGAGAAGATCATACGGTGGGGATGACGTGAATCTCAACTCCTCTCGCATCCCCAGCCCTGCAGCAGTGTTAGTGAAGTTTCGAATTAACTTCTCATTAATCCCACAAATCTCAATTGAGCCCCAATAGTGGGCTAGACCCTTTGGCTCAGATGGTAAAGAATCTGCCTGCAATGCGGGAGATCTGGGTTCGATCCCACTGGAGAAGGGAAAGGCTACCCACCCCAGTATTCTTGCCTGGAGAATCCTACGGACAGAGGAGCCTGGCGGGCTACAGTCCTGTGGGGTTGCAGAGTCACTTTCAACGGACCAGACCTTTCGTTTATAAAATGACTTCACCTCTGTGCTTGGTACAGAATAAGGGCATAAATAGTAGTTAGAGCTATGAGTGTAAGATCCTGAGGCTTCCCAGCAATTCCCTGGGAGGTTAACTCTTTCATCAGCTCTAGTCCCCTGCAGAGGAAATCAGTCTCCTGGTTAAGGAGGCACCCCAACCAAACCAGACAGGGTTGAACCCCACCTCCGCAGGTGACCAGCTGGGGCCCATTTGTTTCACTGTTGTGACCTACAGACCTAGGAGCCCTTTGAGAACAAGAACCTGTCAGCATATCTGTACCTCCCACAGCACTCACTTTGAACAAAGTGTCCAGAAAGTTCTGTTGACTTTTTATGATAACACTTATGGAGCACCTACTAGGTCCTGGGCATTACCTCATTATCCTCCTAAGCATGCCAAGAGGTAAGTATTAATATTGCTTCCATGGTGTAGATGAAAAGACAGAGGCTTGGAGAGGATAAGACTTGCCCTGAGTGACACAGCTGGGAAGCTCTGAGGTCTGAAGCCCCTACAGGTTTGTTGGAATCCAGAGTCCAGTGATAATCCATTGAGCTACACGTCTTTGTCCAGCCACCCTTCAACTCCCTGAGCCTGTGTCTTCACCTCTTTATGGGGATAAACCTAGTTCTTAATGCCAGTGACTGCCTCACATAAAGAGCGTGAAAATCCTTTGTAAGCTGAAAGTGTGTGATGGATCCTTATTCAAAGAGGTGTGTCCTGAGTTTGTCTGCCTTTTGCATGTGTTCCATCCCCCAAATTCCTGTCAACCCCACCCTTGTACCCAGACCAACAAAGACCTAGAACACTCCCAGGAGCATAAATCCAGAGCTGGATTGAAAGACAGGCATGGAACAAGTGCATGGGAACAGCATCCACAGCAAGGTATGACTGTCAGGGAGGCATTCTAGAGAAAGTATGATCTAGGCCAGGTCTTGAAGCCAGGGGTAAACTGTCTCATCCTCTCCTGAAGGCCTGTGGGCCAGCTCCAGGGCTGGAGCCTCCAAGGGTCCCAGCTCCAAATACAGGGCTGGAAAAGCCAAGAAAAGAAGAGGGGGCTGGATCCAGAAAGGCCTAGGCCAAGAGGGTGGCTGGAATTCCTAAACTTCACCAAAGCCTGGGCTCAGGTAGGCAGGGACACCATAAAGCCTTTGAGGAACGATGTGGCAGTGGGGAACAGGCAGCTAAATCAGCAGTCCAGATTGGGGCCGGGTGGGGCTAAGGAGTTGAGGGCAGCAAGAGCCCTGATGAGAACAGGCCTGTCTGCAGAGGACTCTCCAGTTCCATGGGCATCAGGACAGAAGTTCCCACCTCCACCACGTTCCTGCTTTGTGACCTTGGGCCCTTTCTTTTTAATCCCTTGGGGCCTCGGTGGTGTCCTCTGTGAAATGGGGGCAGCCCCCAGGAGCCCCATGAGGACAGATGACACAGAGAAAGAACCCTGTCGTGCCTTTTTCATGTCCTGAAGCCTCCCATCTTCCCAGTGTGACAGAGGCCGAGTTTTCCCTATTTTACACACGAGGAAATAGAAGCACGAGAGGTTAGGAACTTGAGAAGGGTCACACAGCTGGCACAGCCTGCTTGGTCGCTTAAATGCTCAGGAACTATCAGCTATTATTCTACTTTACTAGCACTAAGAACCCACACAACCTCCACACTTGACAGATGCAGGGCCCAATGGTCAGAAGGCAAGTGACTAGTAGGTAGGCACTTGGTCTGGGCCCTGCCCTCTTGCCTAGGAATCAGCACAAGCAGAACAGCAGCCCTCCCGGTGTCAGGCTGGCAGTATGCTTCCTGTATATTAATTCCTTATGTCCTCACCACGTCTTGTGAGGAAGGTTACTCACTGGCCCCATTTTACAGAAGAGAAAACTAAGGCATAGTAAGTAACTTGTCCAAAGTCACAGCTAGTCAGTGACAGATTCCAGCCCAACTAGTCTGCCTCCTGGGTCTGTGTATTTAACTCTCACACCCCGGCTCGCTTCAGCAGCACCGTGGGCCTAATGTGACTGCCAGCCCTACCAGGAGCCTACCCATGGGGTGGGGATTTTTACTGAAGCCATGAATTAACGCCAAGCCAGCCATTGTCAAAATAACACTCAAATGTGTAAACTGAACATTTAAGTGTCCTATTTACTAGGGAAAAAATCAGTACTTTTCTGTGAACTTCCTAGGGGAGCAGACATGCCTATCCACTCCATCCATCCAACCTTCAATCAGCGGTCACTCCTTCATGCCCCTAGATAGTGCAGAGGTGTCCTCTCCCAGTCTTGGGAAGGAAAGGAGGAATGAGGAGGCGTGGTTTCTGTGGCCTCTGGTTGTGAGCATGGGTGGGTGGCCAGGCCTGTCCTCTCTGCCATCCTTCCAGAGTGCCTGCCTGGGGCTGGGTGGGGAAGTGGGAGGGGCCTATGGCTGGAGGTGTCCTGAGCCCCAAGCTTTAAATCCTTTACTCACTGGCTTTCTGGGTAAGTGGGTGGGGCTGCACACATCCACATTCCCGCTCCTGTGAGCATCCTTGCACACTTCGTTAAAATAGTGCTGTTCCAGACAGCTGGCGGCAGTGAGACTGTGCCATCAGGCAGGGTTGGGTTTGGATCCTGCTCTACCATGTGGGTGGTTCACATGTTGCTCAACTTCAGCAGGAGAGCAGCTCGGCGCTCTGCCCTGAGTAGGCATGCGGCCTGTCCTGTCTCAGCCTAGGTTTCCTGTGTCCCCTAAAGCCATTTGGGGTAGGAAAGCCCCTTACTGGCATGTAGAGAACATACCCCTACCTTGCTCAGAGCTGAGAAAATCAGAAAACACGCTAAAGCAGACGCTGGAAAATGTTTCCTGTAAAGGGTCAGAGAGGAAATATTTTGGGCATTGCAGGCCTTGTAGTCTGTCACAACTACTCAACACTGGCCGTGGCTTGAAAGAAGCCATAAACAATATACAAGTGCTTGTGCACTGCTGCGTTCCCCTAAAACTGTATTTGGAACACTGAAATAAAGTACTGTTCTTTGGAGTTCTGTCAACTGTTTAAAAGTGTCAAAAAAAAAAGTGTCAAAATCATTCTTAGCTCACAGGGTATACAACAAAGAGGGATTTAGCCTTTGGCTGTGGTTTGCCAACCTCTGCTCTAAACCCAACTATGTCTGTCCTCTGCTTAAAACCTTCAATGGCTCCCTGTTGCCTATGAGATAAACTCCAAGCTGCTGGGCATGGCCCCCAGGGCCGTTATATTCTGGTTCCAGCCTGCACTCCCTTGTCTGCCATCAGGGGGGCGTTGGTTACTCATGTCTCCCTATTCCCTCTAAATGGATGGCAGTGCCCAGGTCTGCTCAGGGCCTGGGCCAACTCACTGCAACAACTGCAGTAATAGTAAGAACAGCAGACCCTCCTCTGTGCTAGGCACTGTTTCTAAGCATTTTTCCTGTATGAATGCATCCGATTCTCATGACAACACAATGAGGGACTACTTCTAGTCCCATTTTACTGGGATAAAAAAACTGAGGCACCCAATATTTATGGCAGCACCATTTACAATAGCCAAGATACGGAAGCAACCTAAATGTCCAACAGAAGAAGGGATAAAGGTTTCCTTGGTAGCTCAGGTGGTAAAAAATCTGCCTGGCAACACAGGAGACCTGGGTTCGATCTCTGGGTCAGGAAGATTCCTTGGAGAAGGAAATAGCAACCCACTCCAGTATTCTTGTCTGGAGAATTCCATGGACAAAGAAGATGCGGTATATATAAACAATGAAATACTATGCGGCCATTTAAAAAAAAAGTGAAACAATGCCATTTGCAGCAACAAGGATGGGCCTAGAGATTATCACACTAAGTGAAGTCAGACAAAAATATGGAATCTAAAAAATGATACAGGGAAAATAAATGATACAGGAGACTTCCCTGGTGGTCCAGTGGTTAAAATTCAATGCAGGGGGCGTAGGTTTGATCCCTAGTGGGGGAACTAAGATCCCAAAGGCCTCCTGGTGTAGCCAAAAACAAAACAAAACAAAACAAAAAGTGATACAAATCAACTTATTTACAAACTTGAAATAGACTCAGACATAGAAAACAAACTGCCTCCTGGTGCTGCCAAAAACAAAACAAGACAAACAAAAAATGATACAAATGAGTTTACTTGTAAAACAGAAATAGACTCAGACATAGAAAACAAATTTATGATTACCACAGGGGAAAAAAGGGGAATGGGGGTGGGGAGGATTAATTAGGGCTTTGGGATTTCTTTTTTTTTTCTTTTTTTTTGCAGCACTGCATGGCTTATGAGATCTCAGTTCCCCAACCAGGGATTGAATGTAGGCCATGTCAGTGAAAGTGCTAAGTCCTAACCACTGGACCACCAGGGAATTCCCAGGACTTTCGGATTGATAGGTACACGCAGATGACACCACCCTTATGGCAGAAAGTGAAGAAGAGCTAAAGAGCCTCTTGATGAAAGTGAAAGAGGAGAGTGAGAAAGTTGGCTTAAAGCTTAACATTCAGAAAACTAAGATCATGGCATCTGGTCCCATCACTTCATGGCAAATAGATGGGGAAAGAGTGGAAACAGTGGCTAACTTTATTTTTTGGGGGGGTTTCAAAATCACTGCAGATGGTGATTGCAGCCAAGAAATTAAAAGACGCTTACTCCTTGGAAGGAAAGTTATGACCAACCTAGACAGCATATTAAAAAGCAGAGACATTACTTTGC